AGAGTAAGATTATTTCTGTCCATGCATGTAAGTGTGTATTTTTATCATCAGCATGTATTACGATGAAATATTAAGACTTATCTACTGCCATTTTGCCTTGCAGAAGTTAAAATCCTTCTGAAAGTGGCAAATATTCCTCCAAACATGAATTCATTTCAGAAGATCATACAGCAAAACTAATAAACATGACACATTTCTGTAAAGCAAGTAAGACGATGAAAAGACTCCAAAATCAACAAGAAGCTTTCCAATGCAATAAAAAGTATTGGCTTTCCTTTTCCCTTGAATATCTTGTTTTCCAGACTGCAGTTTTTCTTCACTGCACTCTCATGACAGTCTCACACTGTTCCTTTAGTTCCATCAAGGCTTGCATCAGGCTGTGATCTGCTCCATGGGTCACCTTCATAATGTTATAGGCCTTGAAAAGAGAGTAGAAAGGGACATGTTAGTCACCGCGCAGACCATATGAAGGGTTTGGTAGTGGCAGTGGGGCATGGATACAAGCACTGGGGCACTAGGGGCTGGTAGGAGGCAGCTCTACTGCATGGCGTAGCAGAAGTACGAGTGAAGCGTCCCAAAGCGCGTAATGATTTGTCTCTAACAGAGGAGGAGGCACTGGCTTATTGTTCCTTGGAAGTAAAAAATTAAAGCCTACTAATATGTTGCACAGGTGGATGTTTGGAAGAGGTGGGGAGCATACTGAAGGATGAAGATGTTTTTAAGATTGGTCAATTGCGACACCCAAGATCTTGATGCATTATTTAAAAGATGGCTGTGATACTCACGTTAGTAGCCTCAAAGTGCTGTAAATCGATAGAATTAAGTGCCTTAACTGTACCAGCTTCAAACAAAATGTAAACTAATAGCTTCACTGCAAAAGGTACGCATGAGGATTGGTCCTTCGCTGCTTTTCCCAAAGAGATCATTTGCTGTGCCTGCTGGTCATCTTACACTACCAGGCCAGTTTAGGCTAATATTACCTGTTGCGTTGCTAATTCTCTGCCACATACATGCCTGAAATACTCTTCTCCCAGCTCACACTGAGATTGTCACTTTTCATATGACAGTTCTGCTTCTTCCTTCTATTAAATTTCTCATGCAAAGGGATAAGTACCAGATGGAACTGGACTCAACGCTTCAGAACAAAGAGCAATGGAGCTCCAAGTGTAGTGGTAGGAGAAAAAACATCAGAGATTTTTCCTCATCCTAAACTGAAGAATCATCAGAGACTAAATGCAGCCTGTGTTTCAACGGGTTCCTGGTCTAGTCAGCTGATAAAATTCAGCTAAGTTAACTTTAGATTACAGAAAAAGGATCTTCTGGAAAGAAGTATTGAGGAAGGAACTTTGCTTTAAATTGGAAAGATAAAAATAAATATAAATATTCTTTGGTGAAATGAATGATACTCTACTTTCAACTTCTAAAGACTGGCAAATGTATGGAAAATCTGGCATAATTTATTTTTTCTTCCAATTAGATACTTTTTTAAAAACAGGGAGGCAGAAAAAGATTGATAGATGAAGTAGAAAAAGCAGTCAAAGCAAACCAGTGCGTGCAAGGAGCCCTACAAAGGGTAAAATACATTCTGAGCAACTGCAATGCCTTACTACTAAATGAAAAAATACTCAATCAAGCATAAAAATGGAAATGATTTCATTACTATTAGAAATGCCTAAGAAATATGAGATTAAATTTAAAAAATCTCAATTTTTGCATATTTCTATTTTAGCAGAAATACAAACCTGGTCATGCTTCTGCAAAATTTTTGCAATAAAGTCATAATTATATTCCCCAAAAAGACTTGCCAAATTGTTCTTAGTGTTTTGATTTTCCTAATTTAACATATTGGGGAACTGCTGTAAAGAATAGGTTGTAAAAGTCCTTCAGCATAGCTGAGCGTGAGGTATCAAGCTGTACAACAACAGGTTTTTTTTTTACAGTTTTTTTTTTTTTTAAATATATAATTGAAAAAGTAGTGTAAAGTACAAGAATAAGAGCCAGTCCTCACCTGGCACAGACATCCTCACTGAACGGAGTGAGATGAACGCCTACATCCTATAGGAATCCCTGCATGGTGCAGAGCAGAATAGCTGAAGGCAGGATCCCGCGCACGTTGCTGGGTGGGAAAGCAGCAGTGTGGGCCCACAGACTCAGCGCGCAGCAGTCAGTAGGTGAGCCCCGGCTAGCCTACTGAGGCACTGCTAGAGATGGGCATATGCATATGCCTCTGTTAAAAGGCAAAAATCCTTAATACCAAACCTAATCTCGAAATAGTGCTCCTCCTGCTGACTTCCTTCTCACCTCCAGCATTTCCTTCCCTTCTCTTCCCTTTCTTTCCTCAGTAGGACAAATAAATGCACCCAGTCTTTATCCTTCTGTCCCCTTCAGGGTGAAAATCATTCTCACGCAGTATTCTGTATTACATGTTGCAGTAAGAGCCAGCACCAGGGTGCATCAACTTTCAGAATACCAGCGACTTCCACAATCCCCAAGTTAAACTGGTATTAAATTGTGTAGGCATTTTGGCCAAAGGCTGTGCAAAATTGGGATAATTTCACCTCCAAAGCAAAGTTTTTTTTTCCCCCCGGGCAGAAGAAAGAATATGCAGGCTCTCCGAATGCTACCCTGCGCCTCTAAATCTCCCAACCAAGCAGCAGAGCTGAGGCTGAGCAGAGTCTTGTGGTCTGTGCGGTCTTCCTCTCAGCTTAAGGAACAAATCTGATTATGAAAAAGTACAGTAATCGCAAGACAGCAACACAGGCCGTGGCGTCATCAGCCACACACTCTCTCCCTTAAGAATACAAAACCCGTCAGATGAGCGGTGTGACTGCTACTCCATGAATGCAAATGAAGTGCCGCACCGCCGCGCGCTCGTGCCTGATGTGCGCTGGGATGGGGCAGGGTGCCCAGTGTCAGCGGTGCAGAGATGCATGTGCAAACGCGGGGCAGCACCGCTCCATCACGGTGCAGGCAGCGAGCAAACAGCCCCGCGCCTACATGGCAGAAAGTATCGGTGCTTCTCCATCCCTCTTGACTGAAGGGAGACGCTGCTTAGACCTGGTGCAGGAAAAACAAATGTGATCCCAGCTACTGTCGAGCACGCCTGGCTAAGGTCTCAGCGTCTGAAGTTGCAGTGAAACCTAGGAGGGCTTTTACCCCACTCGTTGTGGTTTTGCCTATGCGTCAGGGCTTACGATAAGAAGGGGAGCAACAGGGAACCTGAACAACCGGCCGCCATGGTGGCTGCTTGAAAAGGACTTGATTTCTGTGTCCATAAATGGTGCGACAAGGTCTGAGCTCTGTGGATCGAGGGAGAGACCAAGGCTTTGCGTGAGCCATGGACGCGCCAGCGCTGCTCAAGGTGGGTCGGGGGCACTGCCTCGCGGCTGCAGGCGCGATGCCCGGGACGATGTCCGCCAGCGCGGGAGGGTGGAGGTGCTCGCGGGGCCCCGCCCGCCCCCCCCCGCCGCTCGTGGGACGGAGCAGCGGCCGGGGCCGCACGCCGCAGCACTCGACCGAGGAGACGGAGGCTAGTAACGAAGGCCGAGCCTTGCCCTCTGCACCCTGCTTCCTCCCAAGCCTTGCTCTGGTGCACGCAGGTTTGGGGCAACCACGCAGGCGAGTGCCACGAAGGTAACAAAAGACATCTAACAAATATTTATGTTGACCAGTGCCCCTCAGGGCAGGTCATATGCACTTGTGAGGGGATTGCCACGAGCTCCAGCGATGCCCAGCTGCTCTTGCACACCTGCGAGAGAGCTGCTTCCTGGTCCAGAAGCTTTTGTCTTGACAAAACAGCTCGCTGGACCTTGTATCATTGCCACTTTTTTACAGTCGGCCCAAGCTCTTCAAATTAGGTTTGTGAGACGGGGCTGCAGCTCCAGGCTTTTGCTGACAAAGGTTTTCCTGATGTGTAATTCCATTTGTCCTCCCACCATTACATTTTTCATACACATATATATGAGTGAGTGTGTGTGTGTGTGTGTGTGTGTGTGTGTGTGTGTGTGTGTGTGTACGTATTCAAATACGTTAGATATTTTCAAAATATGCTGGCTGCACAATAAACCAAGGGCTAACTTCAGGTTTTATTCCAGAGTATTGCTTTCCTCTAACACTTCCATTTCCCAAAGCTGGCAAATTAGATTCTGCAGGGCTTAATGCACTGTAAGAAAGAGGGTGAATTTCATCTTGATAGGCAACACAAAGCTCTTCACACTATTTAAACCTTCCTTAGCTGTGCAGGGCAGAGAGCTAAAACCAAAGGGCGGTAACAGTAAGGTGGCTGTGGTAGTGATTCATTTTCAGCCAACAGCGAGAGCAGCAATGAGACACCGGCCACCGACCTGTGTATGAAGACCTGCCAGTTCTTCACACCCTGCACATCTGATGCAGAAGAGGCTGTCAATCCACAGCAGCTCGGAGGCTGTGCCTGATTAAACAGGACTGATATGAGTGAGGTGAAATTCACTCAGATCTCAATTCCTCCTGCACCATCCACATCCTTCTCCTTAACACCACGCTGAAATTAGCCTGACGAGGGCTCCAACAGGGTGCTATTCAGTGGCAGAGCGTATTAAGAAGAGTAATGAAGCAGAGAAGGTAATTGAGTTTCTGCTCTGCGCATGTGGCATGCTCCGTTGACACATCTAATCACACAGGGCCAAACGGAGCTCTGATATCACTCTAGGACATTATCTGAGTTTTATTAGGAATCACATCCTCACTCACAACAAACTGGGAATTATATCTCACTCTAATTTGTTCCAGCGTAGACAGCAATAAAGGGAATCAGCTTCAGCTCCCATTCAAAGAAACCATGTGTCCTATGCTTACAACTTGCACAAGGAAGTAGGATGACGGTCCCAGAGAGGGGGAATTCAGTCTTTTCCCGTCTTACATATGTGGGTGAAAAGGGGGAGGCTGAACAAAGCCGCAATAGGATTAGTTTGTAAATGGTTCTGCATCCCAGCTGCAAAGCACTTACTGTGTCCTTGTGCACCACTAATGGCTTGGAGACCACGGTTAGAGATGCACGGAGGTATGGTATAGAATGGGAAAACAGCTCTTTATTCTCCCTTGCTGGAGAAAGAGGAGATCAAAGCTTGAAAAGATGTTTCTGTGCTAGGTGTTGCTCTGTATCCAGCAGGTAATAGAGTGACAATCTGGCTTAAACTCAGCAGCTTCGCTAAACACATACAAAAACCCATCACAACTGCCACCTGATGAAGAACGTTCAGGCGGCTGAGGCAACTCACTCTGGTTTCCTCCAACACAGTATCATACTAGAAGAGTAGGCAAAACGTATGCATGCCTGTTCATATACTGCAGAAATATCAACGACGAGAAATTCCTCTGACTGACGGTTCACTCCACCTACTAAAAAGGAAAGTCTGAATGTTTGGAATTTATAAATATTACAGAGGAAATAGCAGAGCAGATTAGCTGGCACATGACAGGTACATGGTTTACTTCTGAGTAACGAATAGGAAATAGAATTGATTACTCTCCCTTTTTAACGATCAGAATTGGCCACAATTTAAGTTAAATATATCAAGCGATGACTTAAGTTACTAAGATTTAGTAAGACTGACATCATATTAAATACTGATTTATTATTAAAACATGTGGAAATTATCAGTTATTCAGCGTGCATAATTAATAGGATGTTAAAAACTAGTAAGTGCTGGAGATTAAAAGAGTAAGTACAAAATGCTAAACTAGCTATAGCGTCATAGCTAGCTGTAGGGACTGCTATTAATGCTACACAGGGGTTCCAGGCAGGTGTAAAGGATCAGTCCTCCCTCCGATCCCCATTTCCAGCAGTACTGACACTCCTTGCCTTCTATCGCAAGCAGCTGCCCTAATATTTTGCTACACAACCAGCTCTTCATGTAGCATGGATATTAAACTAAGGTGACATACAGCCAACCTCTGCACCAATAAAGGGTTAAAATGTTCCTGCTTTATTAGTACTAAAATCATATAACAGTGTAAATGGAGAAGCAGGAGGCTCCCATGAGACTCCAGGAATTGCTGGTTTGTGTAAATTACAACTATTCAATTCTATGAATTCTACGAATAGGGCATAAGCCAGCAATTTCTGGCATCAAATTTCAGACATCCAAGAAGGAGGGAAGGGAAAACACTGAAAACTTTCCCAGCCTGTGCTAGAAGCTCTTTGGTCTCCCTGCGCTTCAATTTCCTATTTGGAAGATGGAGATGATAGCGTTTCTTCACTGTTGTCTTACGGATAAATACACTGCAAGCATGTGAAATACCCAAAAGGCATCAGTACTATAAAAAGTTCCTTGCACAGGGCAAACTCCAATATTCAAGACATCTACCAATGATGCCTTAACCACTGCACACCTTGCTCTCTTGGCCATTTAAAGCTTAATGCTCATCTACATTGATGACACCGCTCGTGCCCTTCCTATTGAGACAAGAATCCCCTCAGAAGGCCCCTAGAAAAACCTCTGGAGAGGCAGGGGCCTGAGCTCCACGCAACGGATGTTTTTGTGACATACAGATAACAGTGAATGTTTACTGAGTTTGCTGACTTTCACCCTTTGCACCAGGTCCTGGAATCAGGTATTTGTACAGGATTCGCACTCACTTCAAGGAGAGTTGCGGACATGCAGCCAGGAGCTGTGTATTCGCAGGCTGTGCTCCTGGGGAGCGACCAACCCAGCCCTCCTTCTGATGGCCCTGCCATCTCACTCACAGCTTGCTTAGGTGCACAATAAGGCTTGCAATATGCCATGGTTCTGCTTAACGCTAAAACTACAGCCAGTGTTGCCTCCACGACTGGAGTCTACGGTCACTTAGCAATATGGCTCAGGAAGCAGATGCAGACTTGTATTTGTAATTTTATTTGAGAGGAGAAACATCAGATTAAGGTAAAGCATCAGCTACTGCTGCCTGTTAGGCTCCACTTAAGCAGCTTCTGTAAAGAGCCAGACCCATGTCAATGTAAATCCCATAAAGAACCAGAGTAAATCATACTGCTGTTTCAACCTGACATGGTGCTGTAGTGTTTGGGTTTTGTCATATAACACGAACATTAAAAGGAAAAAATCTTTACGCTGGTGTCAGCAGCGGGGCCTGCTCTTGCCTGGCAGCAAAAGGCTGAGCCAGACGGCTTTCTGTGGCACTGAGCAAAGGAAATACGAAGAGTGTGTCAGGCACTGGAGATGGGCAGAGAGACGAGTGGGGAACATCATGGTGTGTTGTGTACAAGCCACATTCAACATAGGGCAACATCAATAATACAAACGAATAAGCATGAGACTTCTGTGAGGGGAACTTGAGGTAGCACATCTTGTAGGGGAAAAATACTCTAATACTGATTTAGGGCTTGAGCTGGGAAGTAAGTGAGAGCCTGCATCCTGAAGACAAGTGCCCAGAGAGAGGGATTCTTCAAAATATTTCAGATGATATTAACAGCAATACAACAGCAGGACAGGTAAGAGCCTGGGGTAGCAGGCAGTGCATACAAAACTCAGTTCAGGTACAACAGGAAAAACTTAGAGGTGAAATGTAACTAGCAAAAGACCAGCTGCAAAATTAGATCGAATGAAGAAAAAGACTGTGAATGACACAAAAATAATAGGGATCAAGAAGCGTGCCTGTTGATTTGAGCATGGCTCACAATAAAATACAACCATTAAAACAACAAAGTTGTTCTATCCTAATTCCCAGATCCCTGCTAGGGAGGAGAGGGGAAGGAGCTGCAGATCTAGTCCCGTTCTTCTACTTTCAGCATTCCTAGATTGACTTTGCTTCTCAGCGCAGCACTGAAAAGAGAGGATCCAGACATTTATCATTACCCTCTTCTCCTTACCTTTAGCCCTTACACTCCTATCAGCAGTGACCAGCTCAGATACATACTCAGATACAGTAAGAAGGAGACCATAAGGCACCTCTTTAGATCTAGTAGTTATTTTCCATTCAGGCACCTCTGAACTACTGAACTGTAATTAGCAGTGACTGATACTAAAGGAAGACTGTGCATGAAACACTGCAAGCAACGACCCATCGCGGCATCCAGCTACAGCCTGCGGAAATAGCACTGATAGAAACGTGCCGAGGAGTATTCAAACACATAAGGTACAGTCAGAGTAAAAGGGGAAAGAGGACACGGTGGGTCCGGGGGAAGCAAGGGAGGTGGGGAAGTAGAGGAAACACAGTTTGCAAACACTGACCTGTTTCAAGGTCTCCAAGGCTTGAGGGAACATGTCTTGGCTATACTGCAGCTTGCCCACTCGCATCAGCTGGACGGCCCTCAGTGGATGAAAACCAGGATAATACAGTCTGCAGAGAAAAAGGAGAGAAAATGTGTCACTCTGTCAGCTCTCACCTTCACAGTCACTGCCTCTGTGGAGAGCTATTAGGGTGGGACAGCAAAGTCATTGTGAATGTTAATAAGGTACTCAGAGAAAATTAGCTGCACTATGGAAAAGCATGAAGTACTGAGGGGAATTAACAAATTATTACTCTCCATCTCAGAGGAATGCCTTTAATGTTATCCTGTTAGAAAGTGACGGGAGGGGGATTATTCCATTTGCTACTGTTGGATAATACAATAGCATTTACTCTACTTAGTGTTGCAAACAGAGGTTGTTCACAATCCCAGTGTCCCCAGAGAAATATAATTTTAAGAAGAAGATTCAGTAGGGAATCCAGTCCTGGATCCTCCAGAATGAAGGAGAAGGACTGCAGGGAAAGCAGGCAGGTTAACATGGAGGCCACCACTTCTGAGGGTTCACTTGCTGCTCCCCGTTGCAGAGAGAGCTGGAGCTGTATGTTCTGTGAAACAGCTCAGGCCTGACTGGCGCATGCAGACAAGGTATCTGTTAGTGTGAGAAAAACTGTTCTCATTCAATTAATTTCACAGAAGCAGAGGTTTTCTGTCAGTCTCACTGGAGTTACTTCAGAATTACATTTGTAGAGATGAAAACAGAACTAAGCTTTCTTTTATCTAGGAAGTAGATGGAGAGCAATGTCGTCATTCATTCCTTTCAAGATGCTTGTGAGACGTCCATGCTTTCGTGGTGATCACTTTTTGGTGCCAAAGTCAGACCTGTCCGAGGCTCACAACATCTGAATCCCACCTAGCGGCCGGAGCCCCGGCTGCAGCGAGCGCAGTGTCCCTGACGAGCAACCCAGGGTCTGTGGGAAGCCAGCAACATAACTTGCCCAGAACAACACGAGGTGAAGGGACACATGGAAGTTAAGTCACCTGCAAAAGACCTTAGATCTTTCCTAACTAAGCAAACCAAAGAATAAAAGTCATGATCAACCTGACTCACCAAAGACAAATGTCCTGTTTGGTCAAATAACATTTTATTTCCTCCAGTACACCAGTGGTGTGCTTCAAGAGCGTTCTAAAAAAAGGCAAAATCTGTCCTGACTGCAGGAAGAAGAGCCAATAAGCTTCTCAGAAACTACTCTTTGAACAAATATTCTTTACGCTTACACCAAATCCACAATCGTGGAACTTCACTTCAGGGGAATCAACAATGAATGACACCTCTTTAGTCAGACAGACACTTAAATCTACATAAATGTAATTAAATATATGTTAAAACATTAAATGATTTAAATATGTGCAATATATAGAAGCCTTCCGATAAGCTTGCGTGCAAAGGAATGAATTATCTTTCTCCTTCATTATTCTTCACTGACGAAACTGCAATCACAAGTAAATGAAAGCAATTGTTTAAATGGCAGTGTATCACGTTCTTCTTATAAGTCTCAAATCAAGACATGTAAACCTCACGGAAAATGTTTTCTCACTCCCAAACCCCTTTTCTGCTGATTCCCTACATTTTCAGGGAAGACATGCAGAAATATATGGGAAGCATGCCTGGTAGGAGCTCAGGGGCAACAGCTCTCAATTTGTCAGAGCCTCTCACGAAGCAGCAGAGACCAGCTCCTCAGTGCAAAGACTTCATCCTGGACTGCTGCAGGATTCGGAACACAAGAACCGCAAGAGATGCACAGTGATATTTTCAGACATCTTGAGGGATGCAGTCCAAAAAGGTCTGAGAGCCAGCAGACTACAGAGCAGAAATATGCATCTCAGTCCAAACTGAGCAGTCATGAACTTACCGGGCCCAATTAAACAAACACAGGAAATCATTGGCAGGTTTATTCTTAGGATTATTAAATCAATTAACTTGGGGCGATCTGCTACCAGTTAAACAGGGAGAAAATGCAACTGAGTAAGTCAGATATTTTGGTGCGAGTTACTGAAGAATAACAGAAATTGAAGAGATAAATTAACCGTGCCATGTGCGCAACTGTAAAAAAACTGCAAACATCTGGCTAAAATGCTGCCGTGCCAAAACAACCATGCATCTCAGGACCTGCCTCCCCTGCAGCCACCTCAGGGAAGGCAGCTCAGGGAAGCATCCAGACTGTGCCTCAGCTAGCCAGTGCGGGGCTTGCTAAACTTCACACAAGTCCATCAGAAATCAGAATGTGCCCCTGCATGCAAACACATCTCTGCCTATAGATCGTACGTTCACTTGCAGTCAATAAAGATTTAGGATTATGGTGCATGCAATACCAGAGAAAAGAGCAGGCAATTTAACAATGTCAGGTACCCGGCCAAGACCACTACCAGCCATAAACTAAAGCAAGTGGGAATTTAAGATGAGGACACAGGAGGAACAAGTGTGAAACAAAGAGCCCTGTCTTCATAAATATTTACAAAGCTATTTTACTGTGCTGATTTACGTTCTAATCTTACGCACGTATATAGTTACATTTTGCGAGCCTAAAAATTGACATTTGAAACAGCTATTTATTATTATTTTCTGGAATAAATCTATTAAACTATTGAAGCACCTTCTGTAAAAGCACATCTATTGAGCGAGTTTATTAGAGAAATCCAGGCAGCTTGCAGCTCTTCTGGGAGACATGTAAGTGGGCAAAATGCTGTTGGCTTCTTCCAGGCATCCCTATGATTCAGTGGGATGAAAAACTGGCACGGCAAAAAGAACTAAGAAGCAGCATCAGGTACTAGTGAGCCAAACTATTATTCCCATGAGTTGCTCTGAACAAAACAAGTGGATAAATTTAAGACTAAGAAAGATATTTACCAGCCGGGGAACTGGTACCTAAGTCTGTCAACAAGAGACTAAGACGACTACACAGAAATACATGCTATAAAAAACATTACAGCTTGGGAAGAGTAGGATTTCAATCTGAAAAGGATTTTATGAGATTTACCAAAGCCTGAGAGACAGGAAGGGGAACAGGCTGTCATACTGAAAGCTGAAATAAAGGAAGATAGTTCTGTGTAGTAATGTTTCTGGTCCCTTGGCACTGGTCAATGCTCAATAGTCCACTTGCAAGGACAGATTACATAGCACATAATAACTAACAAGTACAGCTGCACTATAAACGAGAGAACTGGAGGAGGCTGAGAAAGATCTTAAAATTTTGTATCACATCCTCTGCTCATATAAGTCAATGGAGCTTTGCTCCAACCTGTGAAAATCAGAGTCTATGCTGGCCCATCCCTCCAGTCTGCCCAGGCCCTCTGGACGGCGGCCCTGCCCTCAAGACTATCGACTGGTCCCCACAATTTGGTGTCATCTACAAACTTAAGGAGAGTGCTTTCTGTTACCTCCTCCGGCTCATTGATAAAGATATTAAACAGGACCAGACCTGTTACCAGTCTACAAGCAGGGCACCAGTGATGAACCAGGGCTCTCTGAGCCCAACCGTCCAATCAGGTTTTCACCCATGTAGCTCTCCACCCATCTGGACCGTAACACCCTAACTTGGTATACAATTTTTGCAGAAAACACTGTCAGAAGCCTTGCTGAAGTCAAGGTAAATGGCATCCACTGCTCTCCTCTTGTCCACAAATAAAATTCAGTCATTTTATCACAGAAGGCAATAATTTTTGTCAGGCATGATTTACGGTTGCTAAATCCGTGCTGACCATTCCCAGTCACCATCTTCTGTTCCATGTGCCCAGAAATCTGTTCCAAGAGGACTTGCGCCATGATTTTCCCAAGGGGCCAAAATGAGACTGATGGGCCTGTAGTTTCCCACCTCATCCTTTAGACCTGCTTTGAAGATGGGTGTAACATTTGCCTTTCTCCAGTCATTGGAGACCTCCCCAATCTCCTTGGCCTTTTCAAGACGATAGACAGTAGCCATGCAAGGACATCGGCCAGCTCTCCCAACGCCCTTGCTGGATGCAGCCCAGCAGGTCCCATGGGTTTGTAGGCGTTGTGCTTTCTTGGGTAATCCTTGAACCTCATCCACTGCTGGTATTTCTTCTCCTTGAACCCTTTCACGAAGCATGGAGGCCTGGAAGACCTTGCAGGAGAAGACTGAGGCAAAGATGGCATTGTCTACTCTGCTATTAAAATCCTCAAATGAAAGATATTGCCTAGTCTCCAGGAAGCTCGTGCCAGTGTTTCACTATTGCCAGAATCAATACTTCCTAAGTTTCATTTGCAAAACAGAAGGATACCAATTTTCACTTGGCAAAGATATGGCCCATACCATATGGTATGCTTTTAATACAGCATGAAACTGATAGCTTTTATTTTTCATTTAGCCACAATATTTGCCTTGATAACCTCGGGGCACTCACTGACCAAACACTTTATGAAGAAAAAACTATTTTTCTTTGTTTCTTTTATCTATATTAGCTCTTAATTTCTTAAAACAGTCCTTTGTGTTACAGGACAATATAAAAAGGCAACCCTCGACGGATTTTTAGCCGTGTTCCTTCTATTTCTTAATACTGTAGTGCCATTAATTCCGCTTAAGTTCTCTCCCATTACGGGGTAAATAATCAGAGCTTTTGTGTTCTCCTGTGAATTAAAACCTACTATCAGAAAAGAGAATATGCAAAATCACTATCTTTTCTGATGCTTCCTATTTTAAAATAAATAGACCCCTGCTATGTTCCGGAAAATTAATCTGCAGGGTTAATATTTACACCTCTGCCTTCAGCCTGATGTAATTAGAAGCAGGCAAGATTTATAAAACCTGAAATAAGGGTTTAGAATGGAAACGTTACAAGACTTTAATGTGGTGACAAGTAAAAGGTGGTGCTACACATGATTGTAAATTGGCTCGCAGTACCTTTTAGTGCAAGTAAATATGACAGCATAAAAGACATAAAGCAGTTTTAGGAGCCCTAGTGACAGAGAAGGAATTAAGAACAGGCTCCTGGCCTTCAGGAAGTACAGTGAGCAGAATGCAAAGGGAACAGCATCAGCTTCCTGCCAGAAACAGACTAGCTAAAGCTAGTAGAAATATTCACTACAAATAAAGCA